TTGGTACTTAAATTTTTTGAACCAACATCTTACGAATTTTTCTGTGTGCTTGTTGCAGATCTTTATTTTTTATTTTTAACGACTTTAATGCCCTAGCGCCATCTGTGAGAAATCTATGAAAGTTTTTTTTCACTCGGCAAGGTCTGCTGGTTCGTTCCATAACTCAGTTTTTTTACAATACCAAGTGACGGGATGAACAAGTTGCAGTGCCACTCAGAGCTTTAAATCGCAAAGATCTTAGGGTCACTACCACTGCGCCCATCACCCTGAGAAATAAATTGACATGCCTGTAATGTCAACAACACCCCTTACCCTTCCAAACCGGAACGCAGTAATGTTCACATTACTGCTTGGCGATAGAAATAGGTAAGGTGGAAGTTTTTCATTCGAAGGACGAACTCTTTCACAAGAAGCTCTACTGCTACTAAAAGTTGGGAAAGCGTCAGCCACGGTATGCTGAAGGCGCTGGTTCGAGTCCAGGATCTGGATCGATGGAGTTTTTTTTTAGTGTTCGATCTTTGTATTAATAATTACAACAACCAAGTGGAGTAAGTGACGAAATACTTTCATAGATTTCTCATAGAGGGCGCTACGGCTAAAAGTCGTTGAAAACCAAGATCCGACAAACAAGCACATAGAGAAATTCGCGAGGTCCGCTGGTTCGTTCCGTGGTTTAGTTGGCATAGCGTCTGGCATGGTTTGGTAGAAGACATCGGTTCGAATCTGGAGTGGAGTAATTTCACAAAAACATAATTGAATATAGTATGGTTACTACCATCCTAATATTCAATAACTTAATATTAATTTTATTGTATTGTTTATATTAATGACAATCATTATCTTCATAACAGTATTTTATTATTAATATTGTCACATTGATATCAGGAAATATATTGTTCTGTTGTATTAAACTCACTACGTTGACACTATAAGAATACGTGTAATTTGTAAATACCAGTACACAAAGCTAAAGAGTAATGACTAGGTAGTCTTCATCAATGTAAGAGACAAACTTGCTTCCCTATTTGAGCCTATTCAAGATGAATAGAATGATGAATAGGCGTAGATCTGTAAAGCAGACATGTTTCGAGTATTCTGTCGCCGTTATTCACCTCAAAGGGACCGAAATAGGCCGATCAATGACCTCTAGTCCGGAGATGAATTGGTGACAATATCTACATGAGTACTCACGTGTTTGGATTTCCAATAAGGTCGGGTAATAATAAATGTAACAACACTATCCTAGCAAACCTTTCTCGCTTCTCTTACAGTTTCATAAATCTGTTCATATATTCTTCTCACTACCTTCTCGAACCTTTTTCACCCATTCATGGATAGTTCTTAAGTAGTATCGGATACAAACATGTCGCTACGTTTCTTGCCCTAGTGCTTATGCTTGTACGCTGTTGTTATGGAGAAGAAATAGACGGTAACTACACAGAAAGGCAGCAACTACACTTAGAAACCACACAGCCACTGTAGCGAAACGGTTTTCTTATTATGTTTATTAATACAAAGATCGAACCGGACTGATGTGTGAATGTTTTGTATTTGTGCTAATAGGTGTTATGTGTTATTTATTTCTTCGTTGGAACAACGCTTGTATCAAATTTAGTACTCTATTTTTCTCTTCATCTAATGGCGGGGGATAATTTGTTGAAAAATGCGTATCGAACACGTTTCACATAACTATAAGAAGACATGTGTAGTGCTCGGACTATAGTCAATGTAATCCATAGAATAGGCAATGCTTCCATGGTCGAAGGGAACCATTACTTATATACATATAACCATTACTGCGTTCCGACTTTGAGGGGTAAGGATACTGGTGAAATTTCAGGCTTAGAGGATTTGTCAACTTACGTCTCAGTGTGACGGGCGCAGTGGCCATAGATCTTTTCAGAGGTCCCAGGTTCGATTCCCGGGCCGGGAGAAATATATGTATGGCCTACGTTTATTTCTATCGTGAGTTTGGGTGTAATTTGTGGTTTCCATGTGTATGTTCATGGCACCCGCGACACAGGATTTCCCTAATACGGGGCTATGTTGAGTGTGTGCCTTATTATTATTATTATTATATAGAACATTTTTTCGATCCGATGGGACTTGAACCTACGACCATACCTTAGCATTGCTCTTTGCCAACTGACCTTACGGGTCAAGTTATCGAGTAGTCGACATTCTCGCATGTGTTTTTGTTAGGGATCAATGTAATGGATTTTCGGCATTCTGAACCGCTAATCACATCTAGTGAGTGGTTTTAGAACCTTCTTGACGAGTTTCCCATACTATCATATTCTTATATTTAATTTTACAATAAACGCCGTTACTGTCCTTGAACGGGTTAAGAATATTCTCGATTTGATCTGTGAACGTACTTCGGCGCCGTTTTGCGTAAATTTTGCCGTCCTTATTGGCTCTTAAATATCTCTTTTGCTCCTTTTCTTTTGTAAGCATTACTGCGTTCCGATTTGGAAGGGTAAGTGTGCTGGCGAAATTACAGGCACATGGGACTTGTCAACTTATGTCTCAACGTGACGGGCGCAGTGGCAGTGCCCCTAAGATGTTTACGATTTAATTGATACATAGTTTGCGGCACGGCAACTGTTATGTATAGGCGTGTCGCTTACCATCAGGAGCACGACTTGTTCGTCCGGTCACTTGCTATTATAAAAAAATATTATTTGTGAAAATACTCCACTAGTTTGTCTGTATTGACACAAAGAAAAATTACTTCAATCTAACTATACTCGAACCAGCGCCTGTCGCCACAACGGGACTATCGCTATTACCAACTGCACTGACAACAATGGTATTATTATTGACTTAATTATTTCATTATCAATTAAGTAATTATTTCAAGTTGTAACTTAACTAATTATAATTCATAATTATATTGGTAACCTATCACAAGCTCGAATTAATTTTTTCCATAATAATGTTTGTTCGTATTTTCATTACCCCGAAAATCGAATTATAACGGAACCGTTGCTTTTCTAGGATATGTTGGATGTTTATCTCAAAGACATGATTAGGTTCGGTTACGTTTAAAAGAAAAAACATTTTCCTCTCAAAATTACCTTCGAGGTTATGGAAATTCGAGCAAACGTTATTTCTGGAAAATGTCATTTCGGACTTCTGATAAGTAAAAAAAAATATTGTGTAAAGCGAACAACTAATTTTCAAGCGTAATTATGTCAGTCTCATAATTGATTTCGTATTTTCTAATATCCACGCAGATATTGAAAGGGTTCAGGGTAAGAATGACCAAAATCACTTGAGAAAAAGTTTAGGAAAAAAGAAGTTTTAATTTGGAAATCTTTCAAATATTGGTTAAAAAAGACATACGCAAATGCTGCCTGAAATAAAATCAACGTTGTCACAATCAATTTTACCTAAAAAAATATTTTAACTATATAATAACTTTTCTACTATTTAGTCTCTGGTCTGGTCAAGATTTCTATACTTAGAAGTAAACACACATTTTTCAGAACCTTATTGGCATTTTCCTGAGTTAAGTTAAATACTATCAGCGCTTAAAGAATTAGATGGCAATATTAAGTCAAAACATGTGTTTTGTTGATTTAGATCATAGCTTCCCAAAGTAGTCCCTACCACCTCCCAGTGGGTCCTGAAGAGCTCTAGGGGCCTCGGAAGCAATTTGAAAAAACCTGAATTATCTATATGAACTACACTACATACAAAAATTTTATTTCTTGTATATATATAAATTTTATTTCTCCTTGTGATTTTTTTGTGTTAAGTTAATATAAAATAAGGTTACCTGATTACTAATAGTAGTCCAAAATGACTTTTCCAAAAATAACGTTTGGTCGAAATTTCATAAACTCGCTAGTCATTTTGAGAGGAAAATGGTTTTTCTTTTAAACCTAACTTAATCTAACCTAACCGAACCTAATCTTGTCTTTGCGATAAACATTCAACATATCTTGAGACAACAACTGTTTCGTTATAATTCAGTATTCGTAATGAAAATTCGAACAAACGTTATTTCGGACGTAAAATATACGTGTTTTCAATTATTTCTTTGTGGTGGTGGGAGTTGAATTTTTTTATCTTGCCTAAGTGGGCGGTGAGCTACAAAGTTTGAGAATCTATGATTTAGATAATTCTTTCCCTGGTCTCCTCATTTGTTGAAATTGAAGTTAGCAGTACGGCAATAGTGTTGACCTGACAGTATGTCAGGTTTGTTGATGGGAAAACCTTTATAAAAATAAATAAATAAATATTAGACATCACATACGTTGTTCTGATCCCTAAGTAAGTAAAGCACTTGTGTAATGGAAATCGGAAATAACGACGTTACCACAGGCACCCAAACCTGAGACAATATAGAAAAGTTAGTTTACACACTTTAACCCGGCCGGGAATCAAACTCGGGAGCTCAGAGACGGCGACACCATGCAAAATCTGTGTGCAAGCCACTCGACTGTTGTCAAAGTTAATGTCACTTTAGCTGTAAAACTGATGAGGTGAAGAAAGTGTAAGAATTTTGAACTATACTATTCTAGACCTCTTCATGATAACATTTAGATATTCAAAATAAATCAAGTAAATCCCCGTATTGGTGATGTATACTTACATCCGTGTGGGACCCGAAGGTAGTAGTGATACGGACGTAAGAAATGGTGATCCAGACCAGGACTAGACTATTCTAGAATTATATCCATACGTACATCAATTTTAAACGATTTTTAATCACATTTTTTGTTCATAAATTTAGGATTTATCTTAAAACCAATTATTATATTTATTACGCCTAATAAATAAATTCTACTGTAAGTTTGGTGAAAGCCATTCATCTGTAATTGAATTCATATTTGCGTATGTATTTTTGATAATAGAAATACATATTGTTTCTCTTTGATAATAAAAGAGCTTACAAGACGTCTCTAAAGGAGCTTAACTTGACTGTCACATTTCGCCAATCTACCCAAAAAGACAAAGGCAAACGTTCAAAGGTTTGTTTTTCTCTACAGGTACAAAGAAAACAGCGCGACATATTGTGACAGCGGCACACAATGACGAACTAGTGTTGTGACTGTGTCGATAATTCTATCGATACTATGCCGCAGTGGTGGCTTGCGTTCATACTGCCGCTGGCTGCAGCGGCAGTGCTGCCCAGTGACACAGATGGGTGCCATCCGGACAAAATGACAGTTTATCGAATGGTGCTGCACACGTATTGGACTCGGGAAAAATTCCCGAAACACTATCCGGACTGGAGGCCACCAGCACAGTGGTCAAAGATTTATGGTAAGTTCATAATTTTTGTTGTTTTAAAATTTCATTGATAATGTTGCTATATACTTAATAATTAAAATGTAATTGAAAAAAAAACGGTGAAACGAAAAGTACCTACAATAAGATAATTTGCGTAATTGGAATATTTTATCCCTCTTAAATATTTTACAATCGTGAAGAACAAGAGGTTCCGGTCTAAGAAATTTCAGCAACGTTCAAAAGATTTTGTTAAATAGCGAAATGATAAAAATACAATTCTCAAATTTAATTGTCCAAGCAAAAGAAAAAAAATTATAATTGCAAAATTGCAAACAAAAAAGTCATTCTGTAACATCGGAACACTTTAAACAACTTTAAAGTTGCGAGGCGCAGAATAAATTACCGCCATTGTGTGAATTCGTCCGCAATAACCAACAATGAATAAATTATTTCTACATAAATTTACATTCTTAGCATTTATTTTAAACTTAAAACTTTTATGTAACTTCTTTCGGTATTACATCTAGATCACAAACGTAAAATATTAAGGTATGAATTTTACAAAGTTTAAATTTTGTTGTAACTTTTAAATCAACCTTCGCAAAGTTGGGTAAAATTATTTATGAAATGAAAGCTCGTCTTAATTGTGAGTGTATGTAATTCATATTTAGTGGGAATAGGGCTCTTTGTGAAAGAGTTCATCCAGGGAAGGCAGTACTTTCCTTACTGTTTCTGCCACCAAGCAGTAATGTGAGCATTACTACGTTCCGGTTTGGAAGGGTGCTGATACAATTACAGGCACATGAGACTTATCAACTTTATATCTCAGGGTGACGGCATAGTTGCCGTGCCCCAGAGTTATTTCTGATCTAAAGCTCTGAATGACACTGCAAATGTTATGAATAAGCGTGTCGCCTTAATACAAGGCGCACGATATATTCGTCCCGTCACTTGTTATTATAAAATTTTTTAAATTTTATTTTATCACAATATTTTAAACGAAAATTCATTCATCAGAAAAGTCATCACAATAGTTACAAAAGGCCATTAATTTAAAAATAAACAGCAGTTCATTTAATATAAAACCATTTATCCATACCAGTGCTATTGGCAAATGCGTCGGGTATAATTGGCTGCAATTTATCAAGTAGCTACTGCAAAACGAATCATATCGTCATGTTTAATTCATTTGGTCATTGTTATTGAATCATGCTGAATCAGATTTGTTCTGAGTATTGTTTATTTGAAACCTCTCATAATAGATTTTTCATTTCACTGTAGTAATCATCATCAACTCATTTATACGTCATTTAACTAGGCATGGATCCCCTCTTGGGCGAGGGATTTAGGCCCGGATTCGAACCCACGATCCTCTGCTTGAGAGGCAGTAGGTCAAACCATTAGGCTACCACAGTTTTAATTAAATACATAATAACTAACAATGGCTCGCACGTCTGAGTTCACGACTCAGAAATGCGAGCCCCATGGTCCCTACTTGAGAGACGGTAGGTTAGGATACCAATGCTTTTAAAAATCTTAAAATTAATATATATATATTTATGTATATCTTTTCGTCGCAACTATGATGTTCGTAGAATTACAAACTACGTCATTTGATGTTATGCTTATTAACGTAACTAGTTAATACTAAACAAAAGTTATAAAACAAAATAACTCTGTTATCTATTCTCTTTTAGAACAAAACCTGTATGATGTATTCAGTACATTAATAAACGACATCAAAGCTCAAAAAAGTTTTAGAACAGCTATTAATTTTATCTCTAGCCCTGCCACAGTATAATGTTTTAGCAGTAGAATATTATACCTTCCATTTTATAACTTTTAGGCTGAAGAAACTTTACTGGTAAGTTAGACAAAACGGACTGTTTGTTACTTTTTAATATTTTATTGTACCTTATATTAATGTAGTTCAAAGATTATTTACTGCTTTGTTAGTGGCAGTTTTAATTTCTAATAGATTTACAATTTCAAATATTAAAATTAGAATTACATTTCTTCAAATAGCGACAGTTTTACTTAAATGTATTTATAAATAACGCGCAAACTCGCGTGAGTCATACAATATTTCTCTCGGCCCGGGAATCGAAGCCTGGACCTCAGCGTGGCAGACCAACATGGTAACTATTCGGCCACAAATGCAGTTTATTTGCCTCCCATTTTATGAAACCAAATATAGTGACATAACAGAGCACAAAAGCTGTATGTCATTTTTCAAAAAGAAATGTTTTGTTGCTACTGTCATTTCATACACTGTTATGCCGCCATAAGTGTCACCTGGGCGGCTGCCAAAAGCGAGCGTTAAAATAGACACTTATCGATAGCTGTAACTAAGTGACAACACTATTATATTACAGGAAGCAAACTTCGGATACACTACGTGTAATACGAATAAAGGCCTTTTAGTTTTTGCTACTGATTATGTCACGTATCATTGAGTCTATATTCGTATTAAAAGATTTTTACACAAATAACGCAGTACACGCAAACACTCATAACCTCGCACTAGGGAAACACTATACAACCGATACACACATAGAACATCACAAATTACACCCAAACTCACAAGAGAAATAAATATTTCTCGTGGCCCGGGAATTGAACCCGGGACCTCTGCGGAGCACATCAGGATGGTTACCAGCCACGGAGGCAGTATCGCAGCTATTATCCTTTATTACGACCCTTTGACTGTACACATGAATCGTTAGGTCAATGGTAACGTATGCCTCTATTGATATGCAAAAAACAACCAGTTGGCCATTACTATTGCCAAGATAGGCAGTATACAGCCGTGCTATGTGCCTGCTAGAAACTGGCGTGACGTCCACCTTACCTTGAGCTGCCGCCGTGAATGTCCCAATTTCATGCTGGATATGCCTCGGCTTCATCTATAAAGGATTATTAATTGTAAAATACGAACAATCTCGTAGGACCATATTACTAAAATCATAAACAACAACTTTAGTTCCATGACTTTTAAAATAATATATTTAAATAGATCGCTCTAACGGTAATAACGTTGTGCAGGGCGAGGGTGGGAGTTGTCGCAGAAAATGCTTACACGTTTGCACTCACCAAAAAGTATAGATTTTAAAAGTGTCAGATAAAAAGAATAATTAATATCAATTTTCAATTCAATAAAAATGTAATTAAAAGTTAATAGCGACATCACTAGCCAGGGCTGATAGCTGTAAAGGTATCTAACTGGGCGACGAAATACTGTCGTAGATTTCTCATAGATGGCGCTACAGCTAAAAAGTCGTTGAAAACCAAATACATAGATTCAACAACAAGGACTTAGGAAAACTCGTGAGGTCCGCTGGTTCGTTCCGTGGCTTAGTTGGTATAGCGTCTGGCACGGTTTGCTAGGAGACGTTGGTTCGAATCCGGTCGGATCGAAGGAATTTTTTTCTAAGTGTTCGATCTTTCTATTAATAATTATAACAAACTAGTGGAGAAATTTCACGCTAAAATAATTGAACGTCAATTCAACAAAAATTTAATTAAGTGTCAGATAGTCCAACAAAAACTTGTAAAAAGTAGTAGATAGTAGCAGTAGTGCCATCTTACCTATTTCTGCCGCCAAGCTGTAATGCAAGCATTACTGCACCCGGTGAAGGGTACGGCTGCTGGTGCAATCACAGGCACATGGGACAGTGCGCCTCAGATCTTTGTGCTTTAAAGCTCTGAATGGCACTGCAACTGTTATGGACAGGCGTGTCACTTACCACCAGGAGCACGACTTGTTCGTCCCTTCTCTTACTCTCATTAAAAAAAATGTCATGGAACTAAAGTTGTTGTTTATGATGTTAGTAATATAATCCTGTGAGGTTGTTAGTATTTTAAAAATACCCTGTATATTCATAAACTTGTACTAGAAGTGACTGACCCATGGCTCGGTAGAAGATGAAATGGCTCTCCCAGATATAGACATTGTTCCAAACTCAATTTTGTGTCATCGTATTCTGGTAATGTCTGATGTCATGATTTCCAAATAAAAGGAGGCCAGTACTAAAACGCATTGATATAATAACATGTCTCGGTATTTTTTAACCGACTTCATAAAAAGGAGGAGGGTCTCAATTCGTCTGTATATTTTTCTTTTGTATGTATGTTACGCCATAACTCCGCCATTTGTGAACTCAGATGCGGTCCCATTTAAATTTCAAGAAAATATTCCACCTCTAAAGGTGGCAAACTAGGGGATGAATGGCTTTTGAGGTCGGTTTTTTTAACTGGAGGTTAGGTCAGGTTATTTTATTTTATGATACCAAGTGGTGGGATGACCAAGTCATGCTGCTGGTGGTGAGCGACTGTACATCGCAAAGATCTGAGGGGCACTGCCACTGCACCAGTTGCCTAGAGATATAAGTTGACAAATCCAGTGTGCCTATGATTTCACCAGGACAACCTTCAAAGCCGAAACGTAGTAACGCTTATATTACTGCGTAGCGGCAGAAATAGGTAAAAAATAAGTAATTCAGGGAACGAGATCGTCAAATACCTCTAATATGTACCACTCAATCTGCCTTTGATGTTCGGCCGTCAATAACATTGAATGTACAAATACCAGCACGTTTAACGGAACAAAAAGGAAAATATAAAATAGTAACGTTAAATGAATAAGATTAAATAAATTAATTTAATTATCAGTTTGCTTTATTGAAAATAAATAAAACAAATTAAACGATATGCATTGTTTTATTTTGTCACAAAGCAAATACAGCTGAAAATTTAAAAATTGTAACTAATAGTTCAACTTTGATTTCATAAATATAAAAAAGCTTTTTCGAAACCTATTTATATTAAAACAAATTAATGAAAAAATTACTGTCCACGGACTTTTTATTAAAAATATTATACGTTAAATAAAAAAGTAAAATAACCGACCACATTTTTTGACAAACACTGCATTGTTTTAGAGATTTTACCAGTATTCTAAATGTGTGTTGCTAATTGTGCCGGTGGTATATTATTATGGTTCGTATAAAAATAGAAAATAATTTGTTAAATAA